GCCTACATCCAGTTGGATGCCATACCTCCCCTGGTCCCGGCCTACATCCAGTTGGATGCCATACCTCCCCTGGTCCCGGCCTACATCCAGTTCCCTTTCAGCCGTCACTGTTTCTGAGGACAGACTCACTCTGGCAGAAGCTATGATCTGATTGGCCTGTCTCCTGTACAGGTGTTCTACGCTCCTGGACAGAGCGGCAGCGTCGGCGTTGGCCAGGTGGGTGGGCGTCCGGTAGCCGGCGTTGTACAGCTGCTTGGCCCTCGACTGGAGGCACAGAACACAAGAACCAGGGAGCACCAGATGTTAATAACTAGTCAGAACCAACAGAACAATAAGTGACAGAACATTTGTAGTAAAACTTTGAACACTCAGTAACTTTGGACACAGTGGAGGCATGTGGACGATCTTTATAAAAGAGTCGTTTAAGACAAACTTCACGACATTTTTAAACAATTTTAAACTGTCAAAAGTCAAAACATCTAAAGCCAGAACTTGGTCTGGTCCAACTTCACCACATCAGGTTCTACTGATGTTAGAGCCTCAACAGGTGGTGAAATGTGACCAGAGACTGGATTCTAGTAGAACCATGGATCCATCCATAGACAGACACTGACAGGAACTTTCTGGATCAGCACCAGCCTGGTTGGAGGTGAAACACTTTCTTCAAGGTCCAATAATTCTGCATTATTGTCATTTCAGACGGTTCAGAGTCATCCTGGACCTGGAAATATCATTAATTCTGGACTAATTTAATGGATTGTAAACAGTCTTCATCTTATTTGGTGTCCTTCTGGTCCAGTGTTCTTCTTTTTGGACACATTTTAAGTCATTTAAACTGGTTTCATGTTAAAATACCTAAAAACTGGAACCATGAAAATACGGATCCATCCAACATTTGACACCTTTTCTGTTTTCAGAGTCTAGGAACTGATCTGTGTCCTGCTGGATCCTTTCAGTGGTTCTGATTAAACTGTTCCGAGTTCTCAGAACTTTTCTGTTGGAGTTTTACTTCTGGAGACTGTGAACCTGGAAACAGCTTCTGAGTCTTTTTTAAGGGTGAAAATACTAAAAGTCCAGATCTGAAAACTGAATAAGTTCTCCACATCCAGCCGATGTATTTCACAGAACTTGGGTTTGGGTCCCAAACAGCTGACCAGAACCACAGTGACCCAGATGTGTTGAACACAGTAATAAAACCAGATTTAATCAAACCCGGGACGCTGCTCATCAGCTGAACATTAACTGTGAAGAACAGAACATGTGATTTATTTCATCCTCTGACGTGCTTCACGTCATCAGATGAAATCAGAACCTCCGTCTGTTGTCCAGCTACTGCTTCTGTTGGTTTGTGTTCTTCAGTGTTTCAGGTTCAAATAAATCAGTTTTTATGTTTGTCTGATGAGGTTTAATAAAACAACGCTGACTTTTCACAGAAGAACATCCATGGTTCTACTAGAACCCAGTCTCTGGTCACATCTCACCAACTGCTGAGGCTCCAACATCAGCAGAACCTGCTGTGGTGAAGGTAGACCAGACCAGGTTCTGTCCAGAATGAGGTTCTGTTTGTGTCTCTGAGGCGGCGGCTGACCTCGGTGACCCCGGCCACCTCCATCAGAGGGATGAGCTCGGCCTTCACGCAGTAGCTCAGCCTCCTGGTCAGCTCGGCCAGCAGGGCTCTGAAGGGCCACAGCTCCTCCAGCTCCTGGACACAACACAGCAGGTCAGCAAGCCGTAGACACACACAAAAACACACACACACACACACACACACACACACACACACNTGGTTCTACTGATCGATCGTTTCTGCTCCAGACTGAACTGAACCAGCTGCAGGTTCTGATGATCAATAATCTGAGGTTCTGGGATTTTATTCTGTTGTTTGTGATTCTGAGCAGAAACTTTGAGTTCTTCAACACGTCAGAACCAGATCAGAACCGGATCAGAACCGGACCAGTGTTACTGATGAATGATGGGTTATGAATGTCCTACTGTGTGCTGCTGCTGTGGACTCGGAGGTCCATTGGACCCTCTCAGGATTAAACTCCATGAAGTCCTGTCTGGTGCCGCCGAACCGCAGAAACGCTGGACTCAGAGCTGCAGACAGAGTTCTGACCTTGGAGGAGCTGAAACGGAACCAGAACACAAAGCACAGATTAATGAAGCTGCAGGAACACAGAACTGCTCAGTACCACCCACAGAACCAGCTCTATTATCATCATCATTATTCTGTTATTATCTCTGTTATGATGGTTACAAGCATCTGAGTGAATCAGCCGAACCGACGCAGGATCAGATTCTAAAACCCAACCTGATCCAGAACCGGTTCTGTTCTGTTCTGACTTCAGATCTGATGTTTTTGTTCTAACTGTAATCTCACATTTCTGAGCTTTACTCAGACTTTGGACCAGTCCAGAGTTTCCTCTTCATGTGAGGTTCTACATCAGACATTTTATCTGGTTCTGATCCAATAATCAAACATTCCAGGTTCTAGTTCATGTTTTAAAGTTTTTCTTCAGGTTCTACTGGTTTTTATTTTCACTGTGAACTTCAGACTCTGGTTCTGATCATCGGCTCTAGACGCTGATTTAATTAAACTTAATTAAACTCCGGGTCACCCTGTAACCCAGCAGAACCCGGAGGCAGAACCCGGAGGTTCGGGTCCGGACCCACCTGAGCAGCGCCATGAAGCTCTCCTCGGCGGCCAGACTCGCGTCGACGGTGACGGACAGGAAGCGCGGATCCACCCGGCGGAGCACCGCGGACAGGTCCGGCTCCAGAACCAGCACCGGGTCCCGGTCCGGCTCCGGGTACGGCGGGGAGCCTCCATTGGAGCCGGTTCTGGTTCCGTGAGTCCGCAGAGAGAAAAGCAGCAGCAGCAGGAAGAAGAAGTTCATGTCTGCAGCAGAAAGAGCCGGAAACGTTCCGGCACCGCCTCCTGCGTTCACACCGGGGCCGCTCCGGGACCGCCCCGCACGGGACCGGGCCGGGGTCCGGGGCCGGGACCGGGACCGGGACCAGGACCCGAACACAGACCCACAGAACCTGAGGAGCCCAGAGCTCCTCCTGTTAAAGCCGCTGAGGTTTAGTTTCATTTCGTTCAGCAGCAAAATGATCAAACAGAAATAATCAGAAGAAATACAAATAAAATATAAATAAAATCTAAATGTTATAGAAAATATTCACTCAGTACCCCAGGTGATAAATGTCTGATATTAGTAAATAAATATGAATCAATTATTTATATAATAATAATAAATTGTTCCAAATATGATGAAAAATAAATCAAAACATTTATAAAATACCAACTAATAAAATAAACGTCTCAAAATATGAATCACTTTTTACTAAAATATAGAAACATGAGAAAATATATAACTGAAATGTTCCCAAAATAATTAACAACCCTAAAATATGTGACTTAAAAAAAAAAGTCCTAGAAAACATTAATAAAAGGTTGCAGGTAATAAAATAGAAAATTCAAAAATATGAATCTATCACCAGAGTAATAACAATAAAATAACAATAGTAATAAAATGTCTCCACAAACGCCAATACACTTTTCTAAAATATGTGAATAAAGTATTTCAGAAATATTATTAAAATATCCTGAAATGGATCAAAAAAATATGTTTGAACAGAGTTAATGAAATGTCCTCATAAACATGGATAAAGGCCTCAGGTCAGATAATAAATGTCTCAAAAGAATAAATCATAAGCTCTGAAAAATATTTTAAAAATATTAACTATTTGTTCATAAATGTTCCCAAAATTCAACAAACAGTCAGAGGGAATGTTCAGAAAATATCCTCAGAATATTAAGCTTCACATAAAATATATATATTTAAATTAATTAATTAATAGATAACATGAATGAAAAATCACCTAAAAATGAATAAAATGCTCCAAAAATCTGCCTTAAAATGAAGAAAACATCCCGAAGACAATAAATATTGAAAAGATTTAATAAAATTTCACCAAAATGTTTAAAAAACGTTCCCGAAAATATAAATAAAATGTGTCAGAAGTCAAACATTCATCAGAAATCCCAAAATGTGAATAAATGCCATAAAAGCCTCATCGGCTCTGTGCTGTTTGTTCATATGCAGAGAAACCAGACTTCAACCACAGTCTGGACGGAGAGACATGATGCTGAAGAACAACCTGACACCTGGATCACAACACCTCTGAGATCTGGTCCTCCTGTCTGGTGGTGATGATCCAGGCCTCGACCAATCACAGGAGAAGGCCTCGACCAATCAGAGCACATTAACCAGAGCAGCTTCTATGAGACATGTGGAGCAGAAACAGAAAGCAGCAGACGGATGGACGTTGTGGACATCATTTAATGAGGATCTATCAGAGTGCTGAGCAGCAGGATGAAGGTCTAGGTCCTCGGCAGGTCTGAAGGCCTCGTCAGCAGCTCGTCCACCTCCTCCTGGAGAGCTGCAGCCTTCTCATTCAGCAGCATCTGGAACACACACACACACACACACACACACACACACACACACACACAC